TCAGCTCAATGATTTAACTAGGTTTCCTTCACATTACAGAGGGTTGGACCCTATGTGACATCTTTTACCTCTACATTTCTATGATTAAGTTTAAAATGACTTGGGTGATGCTTCTGCACATATTATATTGCAGAAAAGAGATGCAGATGTTGCAAGATTGTGATTCCCACCAATATATTTCTTAATTGCACTGTTGCTTTTGGGTCCTTGGTGCTTTCTGAGCTTGGTAGTTTCCTTGCAGATGTTTCATTGCCAAACTAAGTAACATCATCAGTTCACTGATGATATTACTTAGTCCTAGTTTGATAATGAAATGTCTGCAAAGTCCAATCCTGACCTACAAATATTCTCTTCTATTGATACACTAGAGCCCCATGATGGCAAACCTATGGCACGTGTGCCACAGGCGGCACGCAGAGCCATTTGTGCCAGCATGTAAGCCACAGGCAAACTTACCTCACTACGCACACTTCACAGCTGATTTTTGGAAGTGACAAAACAGGCCTATTATTCGGCCTGCAGAGGCTTTTTTTCAGGCCTCTGGGAGGCTGAAAAAGGCCTCAAACCAGCTGAACATCAGCAGTGGGGCGCACTGCAGGTAAGGGGGTGGCGGAAGGGGGATTGCGTGTGCATGCGCAGAGGGCATTGAGGTGTGTGTGTCACTTTAAGTGAGATGGGCAGCCATATAAATTTGCTAAATAAAAAATACTTCAGCAAACAGGACAAAATTAAAATAATTTTGATAGGATAGAGGAAGGGTGAATGAAGTGGGATGTGGCTACCCAAAGGGGAGGTGCCATTTTAGGCTGCACTAAAAGACGCCTGATGTCCCAACCATAAAAAGGACAAGTTCCATTTTATTCTGGATTGGCTAAACCCTGGAGACAGGACTGTGGTCACCCACGCACTTTAAGGGAGCCCAGTGTGAAAAGGGCAAGTATAAATACTCCACCTGACTCTGTGGTTTCTTCCCCAAACCCCCAAAACTTTAACCTTAGACTGTCTACTATTGACCTCACCCCTTTCCTAAGAGGTCTGTAGGGGGCGTGCATAAGTGCACCAACGTGCCTACCGTCCCTGTCCTATTGTTTATTTTATTTTTCTTATATGTATCCATGTATTCATAACTATGTTTTTACTTTACTATTATCTTGTAAGCAATTGACAAATAAAATAAAAAATAAAATAAAATTAGGTTTTAAAAGGGAGAGGAGTTTTGCCTTGAGGAAAAACCTGACTAAAGTGGAAAATAAAATTGTAATTTACAAGGACTTGAGTGGAAGTCCCACAGACTAAAAACCACGGCATTTTGCCAAATGCAGTGGGGGGTGGTATATTAATTTAATTCATCAGGAAGCCTTCAGAAGGTGGAAATAAGAGTCTTAAATTACAGGAAGAAAAGATACCAATTGGGAAAAATAATACTTTTAATAGTTGTTAAGAGAAACTAGCTATGTTGAGGGATTCTAAATAACTCCTGGTTGTGGAGTGCTCAAGCAAAGGGTACTTTCCAATTTGGTTATGATATTTTGAATGGAATTAACAGAGCATTAAACAAAGCATTAACATTTGTTTTGATTCTTCATTTCAAGGCAACTGAGATCTACCTGGCATTTTCTGGTGAATACTGCAGCAGAATTTATCCTGGGAGTCCATGCTTCTCCAAATTTTGTAGAACTGCTTTAAAACTCAAAAGTACCCACCAAGATGTATTTTAAAATGTGAATTTCAGGATGATTAGCGATCACAATTTTGTGGCACGGTGCATGTAGTGAAAATACATGGACATTTTCGTGCCCATTAAAGTAACCACAATTGAGCAATTTGCTAAGTGAATTTTGCCCCATTTTTCCGACTTTCCTTGCTACATTTGTTAAGTGAATCCTTGCAGTTAAAATTAGTAACCTGGTTGTTAAGTGAATCTGGCTTCCCCCTTGACTTGGCTTGTCAGGTGGTCGCAAAGGGTGAAATAACCTGACCCACCCACCCCCGGGACACTGCAACCGTCATAAATATGAACCACTTGTCAAGCATCTGCATGTAAATCACATGACCATGAAGTTGCTGTAACGGTCATAAGTGTAAAAAATGGCCATTGCACTTTTTTCAGCGCTGTTGTAACTTAAAACGGTCACTAAATGAACTGTTGTAAATTCAGGACTACCTGTAATTCTTGCAGCAAGTTGAGGTTGAAATTAGAACTACAATTGGGACCAGAATTACCATTGCAAAGCAAGGTGGCAGTAAAGGGAGCCATGCCTGATTTTACGACCTTTCTGGCCACAGCTGTTAAGTGCGTCACGCTAAGTGAATCATGCAGTTGTTAAGCAAATCCATCTTCTGCCATTGATTACTCCTTGGAAGCTGGCTGGGAAAGGTGGATCACATGACCTCAGGATGCTGCAATCATCATAAATACCGGCCGGTTCCTAAGTCACCAAATTTTGATCATGTGATTACAAGTAGTCCTCGACGTACGACCACAATGGAGCCCAAAATTTCTGCTGTTAAGTGAGACATTTGTTAAAACTACAACTAAACGAATTGTTAAGTTGAGGACTACCTGTATAACGGTGATGCGATGGTCATTGAGTGCCATGACAGGGCATAGCTTTTTTCAATGCTGTTGTAACTTCAAAGTTGGAAAAACTAATGGTTGTAAGTTGAGGATTACCCGTATGCTAAATTTCCATTAGTCGTTATGTTACTCTTTTGATTAAAAAACAACAACCAAAATTAAAAAGTTTCTAAAGTAGCCAAAACTTCCATTTCTGACAAGAATGCTGGTTGAATCTGTCATGACTATTCTCTTGCCATCCCAATCTATTCCTAACAAGGTTGTTGTGGCGGAAAAACAGGGAAAGCGTCCAATATACACAACTTGCACCTCTTTAACAAAAGGTGGGGTAGATCTCTAATCAACATATTCACTTCTAGGTCCCCTCAGATCACAGAAATCCCCAAACCGGTGATTCTCTCAAGATTCATGTTCGGCATTTGAAAAGGCCACAATGCCTGGGACACTGAGACACCAGATGTAAAAAAAAAAAAGTCGGTATGCGTTTCCAAAACAGTGATTTTATTATGTGCTGCAAAAATAATAAAAATCAGTATTCAGCTTTGTATTTTATTTCTCCCTCTCTGTGTATGAATCCGTCCCCACCACCGTTTTTTTTTTTCTTCAAAAGATAAAAGAAAAAAAGAAGGCCGAAATGCCATTTTAAAACAGTATAATTTTGGCAGCGTGAAAAAACTGTTGTTTTTAAGTCTTTTGTAAACAGCTTAATGGCTCAAAGTATCTTTTTATTCGTCATTGTACAAGTATTACAAAAACACATGTTATGAATAAATTAAATCATATTCAAATAGGCTTGAGGGGAGGGGGTTTACAAAGTTCCACCTACCCCTGCAGAAATATTTGCCTAGAGCTTTATAAACTGCTAAGATGGAAATAAAGCAGACGACATACCTTTAAAATTAAAAGACAAAACAAAACTATGCTCGTTTAAACAGTCTCAGAATGAAGCAGCAAAGCAGAACCTCACAGTACTTTCCCTCTTTTGGATAGTCATTAAATATCTGTTCCAAATTCTAGAAAGTTCCAGAATATATATTTTATTTTATTTATATACACACACCTGTGTAATGTACACAATACATCTTTGTATCCAACTCTGATTTGCAAAAATATTATATTGAACAGATTATTCATATAAAGAACTGAGATCCCTCTCTTTTAATAATTTCCCTCCAAAAATATTTTCCCCCCCCCCCCCCCCCCCCCAACTCTGCAAGACCCCCCCCCCCCAAAAAAAAAAGGATTAAAGAGAGAACAGTCAACTTACAGCCCTTCCGTTTCACACAGTTCCTTATTTAAGGGAATTTAGATTGGATGTGTTTTGCACCCCATGCCACCCACCTCCGTTTTAAGAGCTTTCAAGGAAATTAGGAAACAAGACCCAAATGCTGTTTTTGGTCATAAACTGGATTCCCTTGTAACATTTGCTACGATGCTTTCTCAGTGATAGCCCAGTCCTACCATGGTAAGGCTTGGATTTAAGATTGTCAGAAGTTGCAAGTGCCGATTAAAATGGGGTAATGGGAAGAAAGACAAGGATTGGAGCACACAAGGCTGAAATCTCAGTCCTGTACAGGATACAAATACTACAGCTCCCCTCCTGCCTTGGCCAATGCCTCATAAACTGATCAGCATTGTTTCACAGGAAATGGCACCTCATGACAACACACAAATTGCCAGCTGAAAATTCCCCCCTTCCTTGTAAGTCACATCTCTTTTTCACAACTGCAAAAATTTAAGAGCGGGATGTGAATTCTTAACGCTCCTATAACAGGAGTATTTGACTTCAGTTTTGGGCCGGGTCCCACCGGTGTTTGGGAAAGTCCTTGGAAGCTAAAATGCTTGTATTTCGGTCTAACGCAAGAACTGCAGCAGAAGGAAATTAATTTTAATGCCTGAGTCGTAGGCCTAGACATCCAGTCCCATCTACTCTGGTATTGTAATGTTTAGCATCTCTGATTTTAAAATAATCTCCTCTCTGTGTTCAGAGTAGACAGCACAAGAAATCTTTCTGTTTACAAACAAGCAGAAGATAAGAGAGCCCCCAATGTTATCCTAAGCCAGCCTTATCTTAAAAGTGTTTGGAAATAATTCTCCCATCTCTACCCTGCCATACCACAAAAAATGTCAAGAGCGGAAAACTGCAGACACGGGCTGCTTTTTTCATCCTGGGTGATTTTCACTTGAGGGAAAAGATCAGGAGGAAGAGTGGCAACCTCAGTCCTGACACCATTTCTATCGGGGGGCAGGAAAACATTTAGAATTAAAAACACTTTGCTCCATCTATGCTGGGAAATGGCCGTGTGTCACAAGCTCAAAACATCTGCCCTCAAACTTGAATTGAGAGATGTTTTGAATTCAAAACACTACCGGGATGGTCAGAACAGCCCATTTCACAAAACATTTTGAAGCCGAAACATTCTGCATTCCTTCCACTTTTAATTCCAGCAGATGTAGAAGAGGAAAATCACACCCACAAAATTAAAATTGGGGGTGGTGGGGGGGAAGGGAAGGGGGCAGATGCAGAATTGTGCTTTTTGATCCTCTGCCTGAACTCTTGATTTTTGTGGCTGGCAAAACGAGCAAAAGAGGGAAACAAAAACAAATTGTACATATTCTTCAGAAACGAAGCAGCCTCTCTACTATGACTTTTGATTTTGTGCTGTTCCCTTTGGAGAAGTTCAGTTTAAAAAAAAGGGGAAGCTCAGACCCACAATTTGCAATGCCTCCCCCCCCCTCCACATAAGGGGGAGGGTTAAGGATCCCACCAAATGAGATCACAGAAAGATCTGAGGATCATTCACAGTGAAACAGGACTCTTCGTCTTGATCACAGAAACAGGGAAGCCTCAATTCTAAGATTCCCTTCTGTTAAAATTAATGCCCAGATACAGATTCTGTCTGGGCAGTCGGCAATTCATAAAACTAAGCTGCTGCATAGAGAAGGCAGGACAAGTTGAACAAGCTCCTCTGACAATGGCCAGCCATGCTAAGGACATTAAAGCAGCATCCGGCTCCCAATTGGTTCACTAAATCCTGGCCAGGAAGGGGGAGATTGCAGAAATACAAACAAGAAAGCAGTGAGTTATGCAAGAATTTAATGGACAGCGGACAGACAGGTTTGTATATGGAGTTGTTCCCCCACACCAGGAACATGAGCTCTCCCACCCACCCCTCCCCCAGCTGGTAGAATTTGCAACAGAGCTCAGACAACCCTTTGTTTCCGACTCTAAAATGAACCTGCATTGGGAGGTGTGTGGGGAGAATAAGAATAGTCAATTCTTAGGGAGGAAGATTCATTTCCTGTCATCTAAGAATAAGCAAACTTTCCTTTCTTTAACTTGTTTGTTTTTAATATCTGGGAAGAGACAGAGTTTAAAATGCTGAGATTAAGCCACATTGGTTCCTGGGTGTGTACAGTACAGTGATGGACTTCTCACGGGGATTAAATCCTTGAGTCACTGAGCCCAGGAAGTTGAGAGTGACTTCTCCTTCGCTGTGGGACTTGTTCACAGGTTGACGTCCATCTGGGTGTCTCACTCAGCCCCCAGGCTCAGTGCCAAGACTGGAACTGCTGTTGGTCGTATTCAGCTATCAGTTTTTTGATATGGGCCAGTTTGTTGTGGAGATATTCGCAGCGGTTCTTCTCCTGGCTGTAATTTGGATTAGTCTGCAAGGGAGGGGAAAAAAAGAAAGAGAATAAGGTTGACTATATTAGGGAAGGGAGCTTGGTCTAGTGGAATAGGCACTGGGTTAGAAACCAGGAGGCTGTGAGTTCTAGTCCTGTCTTAGGCGTGAAAGTTGGTTGGGTGTCTTTGAGCCAATCACCAAGAGACTTAAGAGTTCTAGTCCTGTCTTAGGCATGAAAGCCAGTTGGGTGACTCTGGGCCATTTTCTCAGCTCACCCTGCCCCACTGGCTTATTGGAGGAGGAAACAATATTATGTATGTTCGTTGCCTTGAGTTACAGATAGTTCTTAACTTATGACTGTAATGGAGTCTGCCCACCTTGATCATTAAGTTATGATGATCGTAAATCGATCCTGTGCACAACCCTGTCAAGCAAACCCACAGTCAAGCGGCTGTCAAGCAAACCCACAGTCCTTAAGCAAACTATTGGTTTGGTTATGGGTTTTACAGAAAAGCCGAAGTGCCAACGATATTTAATGAAACCATCATAAAATGTGAGTGACACAACTGTGGAATGCTGCAGCTAGTTGGTAAATGTGACCCTGTTGCTTAAGCGCCCAGAGTTCAGCCACGTGACCACGCCTCCCCCCCGACCTTTGGAACTCTCAATGGGGTCATAAGCAGCCCCAAGATAAGTCTGTCGTAACTTCAAATGGTTGCTAAGTGACCAGTGGTAAATCGAGGACTACCCATATTTATCAAAGTAATAAAGTCCTTGACTTACAACCACAATACAGGCAGGATTTTTTTTTTTTTAAAAAAAAGAAGTAGTGCCTTCAATTAAGATAAAAATACCAAATAATTGCCTGTCCAACTTCAGCTAAGAGTTCTAGAAAACAAAACAGAAGGAAGGAAGGAAAGTGAGCAGATGCTGTCATCTGATAGCAAGAAAAATAAGGGCTGCCTCTGGCTTGTTTCTGTCTCTGACACACTTCCATTTTGCAACAGGCAATGCTTACGATGAGTTGAATCATCGCATTTAATAAACTAGCAGTTTATTGGATAGCTGCAATTTACATTTGGTCAAATTCAAATAAAAGGCAGAAGAATTTGGGGCTCCGTTTCATTCCACCCTGCCTATAGTTTTTAAAAACTGGCTTTAAAAAAAAAACAGGATTTTGAAAGCTTAAAATTGGTCATTATAGGACCTAGCTATTGGCAGGCTCATTTTCTTACAGTCTGTCTAATTGAAGCCTTCCCCAGATGTTCTGGAGAACAAGATCCAGGAATCAAAGAACCCGTGGCACCGAGGGACTTAGCAATTGTGCAAGGAATCAAATCTAGGAAGGGCAGTTTTAATCCCTGTTTTCTTCAGCCAAGCTGCTTCCAATCAAGCCAAGGTTTTCTCAAGTGAGAAAATTAGGATTTTTCATCCTTGCTCCTCTCTTATCTCAAAATGCATTTGATTATGAGCAAGAAGCTCAGTGACTCACCTTTTTAATTTTTCGGTATTCTTGCAAGATCTGATCATGGATAATCTGCAAAAGAATGATACATATGCCACGTATTACAACTGTTTTTAAGACCTTCTCTGCAGATTTCCTTCTGCAAAGGCCATCTGTGGGTGGAAGGGGCTGCTTTAGCTTACAGCCAAGATACTTTAGTTTCCTCTCTATCTTCCTCAACTGCCCAGAGAGGCCAACGGCTGAAGTTGGAAGGGGAAGTGAGGGGTTCTAATTTGTCTGAGGGTGAAGGTGTGGAGCCTGAACAGCCAGCGTTCACTGGTTTATTTAAACCCACCTTGTTTAAATCCCCTTTATATAAATAAGGTCAAAGACACTGCTCATCTAGCCCCAGATGAGGCTACTCTAGCACCTCCCCCAGACGTGCAGTCCCAGGGAGACTTCCTTTTTTCTGCAGCCTGCTATTCAAACAGAGGGGTTACCACCACCCAAACTTTTTCTTGATGTGGTACTTAAACAATGCACCTCTCCAGGTATTGGTCCAAGCCTTACCAGCAATGACAAAAGATGTTATAATGTGGGCCCGAATTTGGCCAAGGCCATACAAATACCCACTGTTGACCCCCCTGTGGCTTGTTCAGCATCGACTACAGGGACGAGCCAGCCCTCTGAGCTCCCCACCTTGTATTCTTCTGAGCCCTGAGAAAGCTGTTTCAGTTCTGAATCCAGCTGCATGAACCGCCGGGTGATCCGCTCAATACGAGCATGCAGGTCACGATACTCGCCGTACTCCGCGTTGAAATCGTTCTTGTAGCTCTGACGTTGCTCCGAGGAAGAGATGGCACCGTATTTTCTGGAGCAGGCAATAAGAATGAAAAATGAAATAACCCCAAAGGAAACCACTACAGATTAGTCCTTCCAAGTTAATGGTTATAACGGAGCTTGTGTCAACCCTGAAGCTGACCTGACCAAGGCCATGTTGAGGCTTCCTCAATGTTGCCATACTGGAGCTGAGAGATGGGGGGAGAATAGAAATAGTTGGGGTTTGTAGCCAAAACAAAATACTTTCTCCTGGGAACCAAGGACATTCCCACAGGTGATCGAAGAGAGGAGGAGTGAAGTTACCAGGCAACCGAACGACACCTTGATTGGACCCTGTGACTGATTATTTGGAGAAGGGAGAAAACTTTTACTGTTAATTAGGTGAAAACCACAGGAACGTTCAGAGTCAGTTTTCACCAGCTTGTGCCAATATGATATAGCCAAATAAAACTGTTCTTTGAGGAATCTGCCTGCCTGGGAGTTCTGTTTCCTATGGGTGTATCACTTGACAGCTTGCCCATTACGGTTGTAAGTCATGATTGTCGTAAATTAGATCAGTCATGTGACAACTGGACCATGACTTAAGTGAATGTGGTTATTGTACCACAAACCATAGTTTGCTATGGGTACAGTTTTGTCAAAAACCTGAACTGAGTGCCAGTTAGTGTCATAAAATGCAGTCATGTGACTGCAGGAAGAACCACAAACGTGACTGGAACTCCATTGTATCTTCCCTTTTCCAGGTTGGTTGTAACTATCACTAAACAAATGGTTATAAGTCAAGGACTACATGTAGGTAGCATTTGCATTTCAGCTTCTTTTATAGGATAATTTATTGATAGTAACCTTCCTCAGCCTGCTACTTTCCCAAAGTATTTGGTTTATGGAACAATGCAGCCCATCCAGGGCTTCATGGTGAGGAAGGCTGGTGTGATATTAGGCCCAGAACAACAGTGAACATAAACTCTCAAAGGATAAGGAATGACTCTAATGACAAGAAAGTTGTAAGAACTTGGCAGTCAATATTACGCTATTGTTAGCCAAACAGATGGTGCAGCTGCATTCAGGTGAGTAATATTGGAGGATTAACCAACAAGAACATTAACAGGAGGCCGAAGACAAACAAAAGGAAGTGTAGTAATTCTTCACCTAATATCATCTGCGCATATTATTCGCTGCTATGCTGACGGCCATTAACAGAAGAGCTTAAATGAATAGAATGAAAATGTACGGAGGGATGGGTTGATCAGTGGCAACTACTGACCAGGGACAAAGAGAGCCAGTTTGGTCTAGTGGTTAAGGCACCAGGTTAGAAAGCAAGAGACTGTGAACTGAAGTCCCACCTTAGGCATAAAAGCCAGCTGGGTAACTTTGGGCCAGTCGCTCTGTCTCAGCCCAAAACACTTAACAGAGTTGCTGCTGTGAGGAAAATAGGAGGAGGAAGGTGGGCTGGATGTTTGCCTCTTTGAGTTATTTGTCAAAATACTAAAGGCAGGATATAAATGAACAAATAAATAAAAAGTAAACTAGCTACAAACAATGAATAAAACATCCATCCATCTATTGCTGGTGCACTGGGCCAGCTCTTTTACGAAGGAAAAATCCTAGACTGAATTTTGTCGGCTATACAAGAAGACCTCAACTTGCAACTGAAATTGAGACCAGATTATCCACTGCTAAGCAAGAGGGTTGTTAAGTGAGTGGTGCCGAACTTTATAACCTTTTTTTGGCCATGTTTGTTAAGGAAATCACTGATGTTAAGTCAATCCTGCAGCTGTTAAGTACATCTGGCTTCTTCTTTCATTTAATTCTGCTTGTGGGAAACTGACAGGGAAGGTTGCAAAGGGTGATTACATGACCTGAGACGGTGCAAGTTGTAAATACAGTACATGCCATTTGCCAATTTTGATCACGTGACTGCATGGGGGCGACAGACGGATGCTGAAGCAGTTGTAAGTGCAATGACTGGTCTTAAGTCACTTTTTTCAGTGCCACTGCAACTTCCAATGGTTGCTAAACAAACAGTTTAAGTCAAAGACTCCATTCTCTCTGCTCCAATAATCACTGGAAAAGATATTTCTGAATTTGTTCAAACATGGCATCTCGTGACTTATGGTGAAAGCAGTCCTATCTCCCCCCGCCCCCTAGTCTCTGCATGCTGAAAAATACTTCTGCTGCTTTAATGAGATACGAGTGCTCATACAAGCCCCTATTTTACTGTTTGGGGCAATGGCACCAATCCTTCCATACTCACAACAAATAGTCTGGCCTTCCTGAAGTAGAAGATGGAACACTGGAGCTGTTGCATGTCCTGTTTAAACCTGTAAAAAGGAGAAAGGAAAAAGAGTCACGGGACCGTTGAGAGTTCTTGGACCGACGCTCTAAAAATCACCCTCAAAAGCTTTGAAACAACTTCACAAGGTTTAATGGCATGGTGTGTGCAAATTTGAGAGAAATTCATCAAGACTGGATTAGCTTATCTTTAGGATTAATTAAAATAGTATCCTTTGAAAAAAAAATACTGCTAATAATTGTAAATAAATGTGGATAAAAATGTTTGTGGATCAACAAGAAGTATGCATTCATGCAAGGGTGGGAATCTGAAAAAACAGAGCTCAGGATGGCTAGCAAGTGGGCTGCCAGGTTGGATAGGGCTACTTTTGAATGCCATTCGGTGATTATTCAGGGATGTTGTACAGAAAAAATAATTCAGATACTCACGGCTCATTAAAAAAGAGGAAATTTAATATTGGTACTAACTCGAATGGGGGTGTCCAACCTTGGCAACTTTAAGACCTGTGGACTTCAATTCCCAGATTTCTCCAGTCAGCTAGGCTGGCTCAAGAATTCTAGGAGTTGAAGTCCACAAGTCTTAAAGTTGCCAAGGGTTGGACACTCCTGACCTACAAAATTTTGAGTGAGCATTCACTCTAAATTCCATTTTTCAGTTCAAACGTGGAACAAAAAAATAATAATAATTAAGGATCAGAAAGGCTGATCACGACTCCAGGCAGTAGTTTACAATAGTTTAAGATATCAAGGGCTTTACTATTTATTCCATTCATTCCTAGAGCACAGGAGATACTAGGTTTTATCACATTTGCTAGAATAACTCAGCAGCTACTGTTATCCCTGGAGGAATCGGAAGCTGTTATGAAGCCTCTGATTCAAATAGATATGCCATTCCAGATAAAGCCACTTCATATTATCAAAATTAAATATAAAAACCAGTAGTTAGCACTATTCATAATGCTGATTGTCTCTTGTGGATCCAAAGTGAGGCTGGTCCATCAAAGCATGGTCATTTTTAGGAATAAAACTGGAGATTTAAGACTGAAAGGCAACCTGACTGTAGACTTTATAAAAGGCCAACTAAACAATATTACACAATGTTACAACAATGGATACCCAATATTTTTTAAAATAAAAAATTAACAATTTTTCTATTCTGTCTTGAGATCTATTGTAAAGTTGTTAAATGAGATTTTTTGACAGGATTTTCAATCACTCTCTGCTTACTCGCCTAACGAGCCTTTTCAGATTAGGTAAGAAATGAAACCACTCTGGGGGACTTTTATGGGGTCCCCTAACAAACTTAACCAAACTGAAGAAGCTAAGCAGGGCAATGTTTCAAATGAAAAAAGAAAAGCCCAGTTACCATGATTCAACTTCCAGACAATTCTACCTGGAGGACTGAGAATCTTCCTTGACATCAGGATTTAAACCTCTTCCCCTTCCTTATACGTTTTGCGGTACTTGCAGTTTGAAAGCAATATCCACTCAACCCGAGTGTTTGACCATTTTGCAACTTTTAGATTGCTTCACAGTAAAAGGAACAAAGCTACTATAGTTGCTTAGCAGGATGTAAAAGAGAATCTGGATTGCAATTCCTCACTTCCCCGGCCATCGAAGAATGACTCTGGAGGGTCAAAGCGCTTATGCTGAGAACAGCAGAGCCGCCATCAGCCTCTTGTGTGCTGGACTTTAAGCCAAAGACCAACAAAGGGAAGCAGCTTACATGGCAGCAGGACGAACACAACCAATCACACATTCCTATTCTGTATGTAGTCTAGAAACCGCCTTTCGATTGGCCAGTCAACTGATTTATTTCCCTTTGTCTCATCTCTGGTTTGCAGGAGCTCTTCAATGCCTAGAGAAGCATATTTCTCACTAGCTGTTCCTTTTATTTGTGGTACCATGGACTGAATTTGGAATGCTTCCTACTCAAACCAAGATTGCTGCCACTTGGCAATAATATTTTTATGAGCCAATACTCCCCAACTTTTCCTCTGTATATTTGCTTAGGATCAAACCATAGATACACAGGTATCGTGTATCTGTATTGCTGGGACATCCTGCCTTAAGCTAAACAAGTCTTTTCCTGGGACCGCACAGCTGCTGCCTGATCACAGAGGAAGATGCAGCTGTTTTAAAGAGCTGTAGACAGATGCCACAGCAGCTCTCCCCCCGTGTGTTACAAAGTCCCTTGTTGCCTTTGAGTCTGACACACCACCAAATCCGTCCGTTCCCTTACTGGGCCCCATCCTCACCTGCACTGTCTTGCGAGGGGCTCATTTTGGAGCGACCCTTCTTTAGTTCAGAGTTTGGCTTCTCGTGGACCTGTTGCTGCTCCTCCTTCCTCTCTCGCTCCTTGTGTTTCTTCTTCCTGGATTTTGAGTGCACCACACAGTTTTGTTTGCTTGTCTGGGCAGGGTCTGCGGCCGACCGGTTTGCTGTCCGCCTTTCGGCCGGCTCCGCCATTTCAAAGTCTTTACCGTTATGGTTTAGATCGTTGCTGACGTCAGCAAGCGGGTCATGAGGCCTAGGTAGCTCCAGAGTGGGCAAAAGAGAGCTAGAGCTGACTGAATCAGCCGCCGACATGGTGGGCAAAGAGGTCTCCTTCCCGTTGGCGGAGTTGAGTTTGCCATTGAAAGTGGGCTGAGTCCTTTGGGCACAGTGAGAGATCCTTGGCTTTTTGTTGGCGAGGGGGTCAATGAAGTCCAGGGGCTGGGGTCGCTTCTAAGGAAAGGAAACGGAAACAAGATTAACGATGAAAACGGTGTTTCGAAAGCATACAAAGGAAGAACTGGACTTATTTGAGAATAAAAAGTATCTCTTGCCACTAGGGGGCAATGCAAGGCCACTTTTGCGATCATTTTGGCCTTTACTTATTTTTCCTAACCAAAAACCAAAGTGCCAATAATATTGCTATTCTGCCGTTATGGTGCTTTCCCTCCCTTCATAAGACTTCTCCTGCCCAAGCCTGCCACCCCTGTCGTTCTACAGGTGTCTTTCCTTTGGCATTTGGGCAAGTTTGAAACGTATGGACTATTCAGCATATACGTCTGTGTGCGTGTGTTTAATGCAGTAGTGTTTTTCAAATCTGGCACACCTGTTAAGGTGTGTGGATTTTGACTCCGAAAATTCTGGCTGGCTAAGGAATTCTGGGAGTTGGAAGGCCATTCGTCTTAAACTTGGCAGGTTTGAAAAACGCTGGATGTAAATTTAAAACAGGGATGTTGAAACAGAAACAAAAACTAGAACTGAAGAAGCTTCTTGGAAGAAACATTTTCAAGGGGAAAAAAAAAAACCCCAAAGTCCAGTTGCCTTTTGGAAAGCACCTTTGGGACAACCATGACCTGGCTGAGACTGAGATTCTCCATAGACAAGCAGGGATGTTGAAAGCTGCACTTTCCTAGATGAAAGTGCTCAACTCTTTAGCGAAATCCTGCTAGCCTGACCACAACAGCTTTCAGTGTCAGTCACGGAAACTTTTCTGAGCAGGGCTGCTGCTCAAGACCTCTCCAGAACCTTCCTAAAAACTAAGCCTGGGGTTGGGTTTTTTTTAGGAGGTCGGGGGTTGGGAGAAGGTCATATTTTACCACCAATCCCTCCTGCAAAGCAGCAGCAAGAAATCTCATGGAACACACCGGCAAAGCCTTTAATTCAACTATCTGACGTTAGAAAGGGTGGAGTAGCTTGGTTGTTGAGGAAGGGGACAGCCTTATTCCCCACCCAGGAAAGAGGGGCCAGTGAGTAGCTCCCCTGCAGCCTCCAGCTGGAGAGGAAGCTGGAACCCACCTGTGGGCAGCCACGAATCGTCAGGGGAAGCAGAGTTATGGAGACCTGCTTACAAACCACCTTTGGACAGTATGGAGGGTAAGCGGAAGGCAGATATGGGGTAACAGTTGCAGCGTGCCAAGACCAGCCAGCATGGACTTGGAAAGCCCCTTTGCACAACCAAGCGAAACTTGCACTAGAATAAGGGTGTGTGTGTGTGTGTTTTTAAGATAATAGCAAGGCCTCCCCACTATTTGCAATTAACCCTGGAACGGTCTGATCAATCTGAAAATGTTCATCTGCCTTGTATCCTGGATCTAATATGTAAGCCGTGAGAGTTTGCCACTTACCTGGGGAGGGGAGGTGGAAACGTTTGTGGTGTCTCTTGGAGGACTGGGAGCAGAATTCTCAGGGACGCAGCTGGGATTCTGTGACTGGCAGAGTTTCCTGGGAAAAAAAGGCCCGGCATTGGCTCCCAAGCAAAGCATTAATGACCGAAGCCATTGAGCCAAGAGCCAAGTTCAAACATCCTGGATCAGAGCGCCAAGCATTTTTGTAAAAAACCTCCATTTAACGGTGGAAGGTACTTATTACATATCTATCTATATATGACCAAAACTCTTGTGTTTTATCTGTTTGTCCCCTCAGATTAGTCCAAACAATACCACAGCATTTTTTGACTCAAGAAACCTAAAATCTGCTAACTTAAATAATGAGTAAAAATCCACGATCCATTGTGTGGAATTAATATTTCCATGATGTTCAGAGTTTTATTCACAAAATTGTGGGTATTGCAGCATCCCCACAGTAATGGGATTGTGATTTCTAATGCTCCTTGCCAGCTTCCCATAAAATCAATGGGAAAGCTGGCAGGAAGTTGAAAGTTTGCTTCCATTCCGCTTTTTTGCCTTTCTGAGGTCCATCTGTTTATCAGTTTACGTAAGTAAATATTGACTTATTATTGAATGAGTTCATTTGCCACTACAATTATTTTTCTGTTTGTGATATATTATGATTATTACTTTATTTTTATCTTTATTATTACTTTGTTGTTTTGCATGTACACGGAGAGCTTATGCACCGGAGACAAATTCCTTGTGTATCTTATCACATTTGACCAGGACAGTGTAATGTCGTGTAGTCTAGCATGTATTGTGTTGTGTTGTGTTGTGTTTGTTGTGTCGCATTGCATCGCACTGCATTCCTATTCCATTCTATAACCTCTTCTTAGATATCATGGGCACATCCAGCATTGAGATGAAAAAAAAAAATATGGCCAGCCTAACTTTTATGTTTATTCTGATCGCATCAGATTGTACTACCTTCCTCTCAAAGGACGACCCATTCAAGGATTGTCTAGTGAACATTAAATTTTAGGCTGACCATATTTTTTTACCCCAATGCTGGATGGCTTTTCCCAACCAGAAAGCCAGCAAAGGCAATCCTTTTGATGGATATCAAGGCTTTTTCGCAATTGCAAAAAAAGAGACAAAAATAAGTGTTCGCCTGGCCAGACTCAGAGTACCCCAACTTCCAGTGCTGTACAGGGATGGGTGCCGGTGTGCAGGCAGGCACATGCATGCATAGGAAACTCGCATAAATGTTGCTCTTCCTCATTGCTAATTAAGCAAGAGTGGCTCAATTTCACCCACATGTCACGTCTTCTGTTTCTATTGCCATGTTTTTCATTTGACTCCCCCCCACCCATCCCCCAATTTTCTTTTCTTGCTAAGGCAAACAAGAACTCTCTTTCCTTTTTCCTGTCCTGTTTGAACAGTTTCCATAGTTTGTAAACCCAGCTGGCTCAGAGGAGAGAAGCTGTTGGTTTAACAAGAATCTGAACGTCCGGGAGTTTTCTTTGGCAAACGAGAGGGACTGATGATGGGCACTGAAACCCAACTACTGAATTATAATTAAATGGAAAATTACAAATTATACACAAGACTGCATAGAATCAGGCCATGGAGTGGAACAGTTGTATCAACTCAAGTCCTCCAGGGGGAAAAGGAGGTGGTGACTTTTTTGCCCCTTTCCTTCTCGTATTTATTTTTTTGGCCTGTGGATAAGCAGTAACCTAAAAATAGAGCGTGGAACGGATGGAGCCGCCTGGGCAAACAAAAACGAACCAAAAGAAGCCCAGAAGGCGACAAAGTATATTCCCGTTATTACAATATAATTCTGTGTTTTGTCCCAAGAAAAGCAAAGGAACAAGTTTTGCAAACTGGCTCAACTTCTCTCATTCTGTTTTTGATCCATTTGCTTGCCCCTAAGAGGCCCATTCTCTCCCCCCAGTCTCCAAAACTGAAAACCACGAATATCACTTCCAAGGTTCCTGCGATTTCATGCAGATTTTAGCCATAGGTTTCTAAGCTTATTTTCCCAGGGATCTAGACCAGTCTTTTTCAACCAGCTGCTGAGCTTTAGAAATACCGATCTAGAGCAGGGGTTGCCAACCTTTGTGACCTCAGGGACCACCAAACTCATAATTTTAGATCCCAGGGACCACTAACTGGTTCTGTGGGCGTGGCCTAATTTGTGGGTGTGGCTTGGTCATGTGACTGGCTGGGCATGGCTTGTATGTAAATATTATAAATATTTATATAAATATTGAATTTTTTATAAAAAAGAGCAACTTTCACCCAAAATCAGGCAAAGCAGGCAGGCAGATTGAGTTGCTCACAGAATCACAGATTCATTCAGAAATCTATCTGCCACTGGCTAGCTCAGTCTGTCACACAAAATTTGCTTGCAAGCAAACTCACAAAATTAACTCACAACACACCATGTATGTAAATATTGAATGTTTTATATAAAAAAGCAACTTTTATCCAACATCAAGCAAAGCAGGCAGATTGATTTGCTCACAGAATCATTCATTGATCTATCTATCTGCCATCGGCTAGCTCAGTCTCTCAAATTTGCTTGCCGTGAGTCTGCACTGAATTTGCTTGCAAGCAAACCTTCAGTCCTAAGGGAAGCAGAGCTGAAGATCTAAAGACTAGCTAGAAAGCAAGAAATCCAACCATTTTCTGCTTTCTAGCTAATCTAAATCTCCCGGCACAGTAGAACAGATGATGGTCGGAAAAAGGAAGAACAGCAACTTAGCAGACAAGTTTGCTGGGTAGGGAGTGAGTGGGCAGGGAGGGTTCCCGCGGGCCATGTGGGCTGAGCAGCCTTGTGGTTCTGCGCAGCCTGGATTAATTGCTTTGGGGGGGTGCTCTGGGGGTGAGATTTCTCTGTGGCCCACCAAAATTTTCTCATGGCCCACACGTTGGCGACAGCTGATCTAGAGTGCAATGAAGATGATTGAAGAATAAGGAATGTTGTGGAACGATCCCTAGAATTCTTAAGTCAGCACGATCTGTTAAGGGATACTTGGAAATAAAGTTTAACAACAGATTCTTGGGCTTAATCTCGCTCAATCTCAACTCTGGGCTACTACAAATCCAAACTTAGGTTTTAAAGTGGTATTTCTCCACTCTGGAAAGTTGAGGATTTTTGAATTTCAATTCCTAGCATGCTGGCTAGGGAACTCCAGCAGTTGAAATTCAACACATCTTCAAGCTGCCAAGATTGAGAAACCTTACAGGTAATCCTTGATTTACGATTGGAATTGAGCCTGGAATTACGACAGTAAAATGCCAGTAGGCATTTTTTTTCTGCCACAAGACAGAGATAGATACCAGAAATGGGCAAAGAACCATCAAAAATTATGGTCTTGTGATCCCAGGATGTTGCAAAGAGCCATAAAAGTGAGCCGGTTGCCAAACTCCCAAAATGGGATCAAGTGATTGCAGGTGTGTGTGTGTGTGTGTGTGTGTGCGCGCGCGCGCGTGGCCAAAAATGGGTAAGTACCTTTTGAAAAAGGTTTGCCATAACTTTGAATGGTCGCTAAGCAACCAGTCTTAAGTCGAGGACTACCTACATATGCTGTATTCCACAGCAGAGCAATCTGCAGCTTCCAGGAAGGGCCAAATCAGAGGTGGTATTCAGCCGGTTCAGACCGGTGCTGGCATACCGGTAGCAGAAATTTTGGCCAGTTTGGAGAACCAGCAGAAACCTCCTCTGGTTGTCCCCCCCCACCCCCCACCGTTACCTCTTCCATATCCCCTTGTTTCTTAGCTCAGCTGATTTGCGCTGCAGACAGGATTGTCATGCCTCAGCTGAGCTAAAAATAGCTCAGTTCACCAGTGTTAACAGAGGTCAATCGGTGTTTGAGCCCTTCATGCGCGTGAAAAAGTAGGAAACAAGTTGGAAAACTACCACTGGGTCAAGTGTACTCTTAGTCGGGATGGAAAATCTGTGCATTCCCAGACATTGTAGAACTGAGCAGCTCAAGTCAGCATGGCCATCGAAGAGTGATGTCTGGAGTTACCGTCTCACAACTCCATCAAAAACAATGGCATAAGACACAGCAAACTTGGCCTTTGTGACTTACACCCTTAAAATGGTTGCTGCCCTCAAGAATATCCTTCCACTGCCATCCATAAAAGCAACTTGCAACCAGATGGCTGGAGTGGAGTCAGTAATAGGCTGCACCAGCATGAACCACAGCTGCCGTCATCTGAGAACAGAGCCTCCCTAAGATGTTAACTTTGAAAGGCAAAAAATATTTGTCATTTTGGTCATTCTGACAGAGAATAAGAAACTCCTGCCAGACTCCAACAGGAGATCTCAATCTTCCTTCTGTCTGTAGTTGCCAGAGAATATTCTCCAAAAGCAGATCCCGAGACAAAAAGAAAAAAAGAAAAGAAAAACTAAATGAGGAAACTTATCAATGACCCGGGTGGGGGAAGGAAGTAGCCTGTTAGTAACCAGTGGATCGGTATTTATACTTCTTGCTTCTGCTCTCTCAGTAAAATCAAGCAGGGTATGAACATTCTGGATCCTATTGATCAAAGAGTGTCATCTTACAGGATCCAGGAAGTGTCTATTCTACTTGCCTTCCAGAATGATGTCACCCAAGAGATCTGTGCAGCTCCCACCCTTATGATGTCCAGGAAATCTACTAAAAATCTGGTTGGACTCGTAGGCCAGGGGTGTCAAACTGGATTTCTTCGGGGGTCAGATCAGCATTGTACTTGTTCTCTGCGGGCCAGCCCGTTTGGGGGGCGGGGGGAATGGGATGGATGGCAGATGGCCCCCAGGCCCCATTTTCAGCCTGGACGGCCTCCTGCAGCACTTTGCCAGTCAAAACAGGGCAAGGGGGCCTGCATACAGCCCCCTGTGCCCCGTTTTCACGAGCAGAGACACTCCAGGTTGGTCCTTCGCTATTTCCAGGCCGGATTCGGCCCGTGGGCCTTGAGTTTGACACCCCTGTCCTAGGCCTTGGAACAAGGTGATTGTGCAGCTTCCATTTATTTGGTTTGGCTTATGGATGGGATGTTTTGATCCTTTGACTGGCCATGATCTTTTTTCATGTGTATTGTTTTTGCTTTTAATCTGTAAGCCGCTCAAAGTCCTCAAGGAATGAGATGCAAGCAAATAAACCAATAGATAAATAAACCTCACATAAATTCTAACACCTAATACTGAGGTACGGTTAAACACCGCCAACCGATTGGTGTCAATTCTGAAAGAGACCCTGGAGCTCCTACCGGAAAAGGATCCTCTTCAGCAACTGTTGGTCTCCTTCTGAGTAGCCGGGCCAATCCTTCTGCACTTCTTTGTAAAGATAATCTTTCAGGGTGCATGTGCTGTCTTTGGCATTCACATTTGCAACCTGTGGGTCGGGGGAGAAGGAGTTTAAATGTGCTGGATGGGAGCCAGAGACCGAGTATAATTGCAGCCCTCTAAAAAGCATCAAACAAGCACTTAATTGCACCAAGGTGGCATGAAAACCACACATTGGTGGGGGTTCTTTTTGCATTTTGCCAAGCCACCCGTTAAGAGCGGGATTCGGCATTTCAAAGAAAGGCTTTGCTTATCAGCCTGAAAAGGTTCTAGCTCTCATGAATGTGCAACAAAAGCTTAACAGTCTGAAGTTGGACATCCCTGATTTAGATAATTTAGTGAACCACCTCAGACTATCCTCAATGAAGATGAGTTCATTTCTTCAACAGCTGACCACAAATGCATGTAAGGCGTTTTATGACAATATCTGAAATATGAATTTACCTGCTGCAAGAGGCTGTCCAAGGAATCCTTATCTTGCGGAGAAAGGCCATCTTTTTGCAACCTAAGGAGGAGCTCTGGTTTCTTGTAAGGCTTGAGAGCCAGCAAGTGCATCACTCTATCTTTGAAAGGCCTCTGGGAGACGGCACTGTTGCCCTTCTTGATGGCGCTGGCGAGGTTGACAGGTGTTGGGCGTATCCGTGAGGGAACGGTGTCGGAAATCCCTGGTGCAGGCTTACGCATCTTAACGGTCTTTCCTGTGGATTGGGGAAGTTGGGGGAAAGAAGACAAAGCACAGGAGCAGGGACCTTTTAAAATTCTTTTCAGACAAAGTGAGCCTGGGAAATTAATATTCATACACTTAGCATACCCAACAAAGCAGAGTTATTGACATCTAAGTTACTTCTGCAGTTCTTAAGTTTGAGATTCTTTCTTTTAATAAATAAATGGCCAGCACTGGGTTAACCAGAATGGAGATGAAGCAAAAGTACAGATTTATAACTATTGCCATTAACAATAGTTAGCTCCAAAGACAGGACTTTAAGTAACTTATAGCCGAATCTGTTAAGGCTTTGTGAGTCATAACCACTTGTTTTATCTCTTGAAAAGGATCAGGAACCAATGAAGCTGTTGTGACAGGAGAGTCACATCCTCTGTCTAAGTGGCCTGGTTTTAAGTCAGCTGAAGTTTCTGAACCATGTCAAAGATAGTTCTTCTTAAAAGCATATATATTGTCCTTTTGTGGCTAATGCAAATGTCACTATGGCTGTGAACCCCTATGACTCCTTAGGGGTCATGAACCCCCTTCAAAACTCCTTCTGGGTCATGCCATCTTAGCCCTTCCCTCTATCATTAAGTACTTCCACCGAGTTCAGCTGTCATGAATGCTTTCACTCTGATTTCTACACACAGCAGGAAGGTCAACTGAGCAGCCAGCATTGTTCCTTTCATCTCTATGATTAATATGATAAATGGCTGCTGGTCCACTTCAGACACTGGCATATATGACGCCTCTCTATTTGTAATATATTGACACTTATTCTTTTTCTGTTTGTGGTGTAATCTGCTCTTCTACTTCATACAGGTACAAGTCCTCACTTCACAAAGCCTGTTTTTAGATTCCCCGCCCCCCTCCATTAGGCAAAACTGTTGTGATGCAGGATGCTAACACTAGCCCTCCCCAACCTGCAGCTTTTTAGATGGGCTAGATTATAGTTCCCCCAAACTGCAAAGACTCAAAGCACCACAGAATCCTGGAGTTGGAAGGGGCCATTTTTAACTGAAAATAGGAATCCAAATTGTAACTTCTTAGATTGCTGTGCAATCTCCATATAGCCAATCAAAGGGAGCCTAATACCTCTGAACTCCACCCCGTGTGTGTGTGTGTGTGTGTGTGTGTGTGTGTTTTCAAGTCAGTGTTAACACCTGGTGACTGTAGTTTTCTTGCCAAGATTTTGGAAGTAGTTTGCCATTGCCTCTTTCCTAGGACTGAAAGTATTATGATTGACCCAAGGTTACCCAGCTGACTTTGTGCCTAAGATAAGACTAGAACTCACTAGAACTCTAGTCTGGTGACTTAGACACTACATCAAACTGGCCCTCTTGTATAACTCTGAATTTCTCTGAGCATTCCAAAATTATCAGAACAAGCCATTAGGGCGAGCTGTCTAGAAACATGTACATTCTTCTCATTTGCTGCTCATCTTAGCCACCAGCTGAGAATGAGTGAGAGCACATGAGAGAGAAAAGGGGCAACCCTATTTTGCATGCCACAAATTGGGGACAACTGTCCCAGTTCTGAACTAGAGTGCTTGACCTTCACAGAAATTTTCCCCATATTTTAATTAACATTCAAGATTTCATATGGGCTTTGAAAATGTTTCATTAAAAAAAAAAAAGTTCCTGCATGCCCCAACTGACAATGGGATAAAAGCCACATGAAAGGCAAACATCAAATAAGAGGTAAAAAGAATGTTAACAGTTTTCTAATAAAAAGAGCCTTTTTGCCTTTGTTGTATATCTAACCCTTTTCAAAAAGTGTGTCTGTCTGTCTGTCTGTCTGTCTGTCTATCCATCTATCCATCGATTGTGATGTGAGTTTGTCTTTGATTTGGTGGTTTCAGCAATGAGCCTAGATTGTTGAAGAGCTGTATAAAAAGCATTTATTTTAGAAAAAAAAACAAATAAGAATATATTTCCAGCTACATCTTGTGTAAAAAAAAAAAAAAAGCCCCACTGAGGCCAGCTTCAATTAACCTAGTTTTTTTAAAAAAAGTCAGGAGAAACACATGCCGTTAAGCAGCCATATCCAGGAAGGCAAGACCCATGTGAGAGGAGACATTTTCCCAGTCCAACCTTATGATTTAATTTAAGGCAAGCAAGTTTCCTACACACCAGCAAGTCAACCTCCTCCTCAAGCTTCTCTGATAAGGATTGCTCCAGCAAACCCCTTGTGCTTTTCCCAGAACAGAAGAACAGACCACACTTCCTTCCTGAATGCTTGACTTTTGGTCTACTTGAAATGTCTAACTGACTCAGAAAATGATGAGTCAGGGTATCTTGCCAACCATAAGCCGATAACCCCTACAGCTTCTAAGGTTCAGATTTGCTGATGATGAAGGGGGGAAATACTGGCCAAATTATGATTTGGGGAAGATCTCTCTCTCTCCTTAGCTTGAAGACAAGATGGCGCCAACGATCAGATATGATACATCTAGTGAATGCAGTGAACACTGCGCTGCTGCCCTCTAGTTACTCTGGGGGTAATCTATCTGATCAGGTGGTTCTCAACATATTATACTGAGAGACCTTTGTTGGAAATTTTCTAGGTCAGGGGTGTCAAACTGGATTACTTTGAGGGCTGGATCAGCATTGTACTTCTCCTCCATGGGCCGGCTTGGGGAGCGGGGGGGGGGGGAAGAGACCAGACAGATGCCTCCTGCAGCAGCCTACAGGCCAAAACGGGACACGGGCGGGCTGCATGCGCCCCCCCCCCCTGTTTTGGCCAGCAGAGTGCTGCAGGTCAACGTCCAGGATGAAAATGGGAAGCAGGGGGCCACACACGCCCCCCAGGCCCCCTGTTTCGGCTGCCAGAGGCACCGTGGGCCAGTCCGTTGCTATTACCAGGCTGGCCCAGCAGGCCAGATCTAAGCACCCTGAGGGCCGGATCTGGCCCACAGGCCTTGAGTTTGACACCCCTGCTCTAGATGATGAATGGGAAGCTGTGCAAGATTCTGACACTTGCTTCTGATGAAAGGAAGAGTGGAATGGTGGTGGGCAAGAAGAAGTCCACTGGGCCAACCTCCTACCAGTCTGGATGCCCTCCAACTGTGTGGGAGTAATGCCAACATTCTCCAGTCAGCCTGACCATCATGGCGGAGACTCCCGGTAGACAGAAAGGCTGATTTAACTCTTTGCGTCTCTGCTGTTTGTTACTCAACGCACTTTCCCCTCCTGTTTTAAGAAAAAAACGAAGGATGCACAGTGCTGGATGCCTCTAAAAGGGTGTTTTTCAAACTTGGCCATTTTTAAGATGTGCAGACTTCAACTCCTTGGTTCTAGCTGGCTGGAGAATTGAAGTCCATGCCTCTTGAAGTTGCCAAGTTTGAAAAACACTGCTCTGAACAGTTACAAACAGCAAATTTATCTTGCACTTCTTGGAGGGAATGTCTGTAATCTTCAGCACTACTATTAACGGCTACATACGCAACTTTTCACTCTTCTAGAACATTTCTCCTTCCAGGTAGGTGTTGAATTCACACACATCCCCCCACCACTACCTCTGTGCCAAGCACGAAAGCCCCAGGCTCACCAATGTAGCGCCCTCCAGGCTTGATGACAATGGCACCCCGGCTCCGTGTCTCTTCTTCCACCAGGGCCATGCTCTGTTTTGCCTTCTGGTAGGATTCATCGGTGGCACAGACAGTGATTTTGTCCTGGATGCTGCCAAGGCAATCCAGCTGAATGTTCCCATTGCTGTATATATATATATGTATATATATTAGGGGAGAAAAAAAGGGGGGGGGGAGGGGAGTTAGAAATTAAGCTTTTGTCACAATCGCTCTCATTATATATCCCACTGAAAGTGAATTGCCAGCCTGTTGCCTTCTGGGTTGCCAACCTGTTATATTATTCTCTTGTTTACTAAGCCCTTTGTTCCAGGCCATGCGCGATGCACACCGCGCTCTTTTAAAAGAGGTGGGTCAGGCTTTGCAGGGGGCAGAGCGCACAGGCACGTCTACGTCAGGAAGCAGCTCCTGCAAACACAGAGCATTTCCTCACCTGGACACATACTGCTGGATGCAATCAAAACTCCCCTGAGGGCTGTCCTTGCCAATATTAGAGAGATAAAAGGAAAATGTCCGAACTCCTGTTGGGCAGTCTGGTCTCGGTATTGAGATGTGCTGTTTTAGAAGAATAGGAAATATAAATATCTGTCCCGGCAAGAAAGATTAAAAAACAAAAAAAACAGGTCTGAATTCCAATGAAAGAAAGCACAGCCAATTATGAGGTCTAATTAAATCAAAAGATGGGAGTTAGTGGGGATAGAAGGAAAATCCGGTGCGTCTACCCAGAAAGAGATGCAGCCTTTTTGAAGGACCTAAGAAATGAGAAGGTGGTTTGTTCCAGGTGAGACATCCACTCGGCTAAATTAAGAGTCCAAATTTCAGAACCTTGGGTATAGAAAAAAATAGAAAATTTCTACTTCTTCTTCATGTGTGTGTTTTTTTTAGCTTGGGTTTTGCTCATTGCTCTTTATTTTTAAAATATTTTTGTTGTTTTTTTCTTGTCTGTCTCCCCCCCCCCTTTTCTCTCCCCCCGCACCCCACTTAAACAGGTATTCATTGACTTACAGCCACACAATTGAGGCCAATATTTCTATTGAGACATTTGTTAACTGAATTTTGCTCCGTTTTATGACCTTTCTTGCCACAATTTGGTTAAGTGAATCATTGCAGTTGTTAGGTGAATCTGACTTCCCCATGGATTTTGCTTGTCAGAAGGTTGCAAAAAAGTGATCACGGGACCCCAGGACAAAGCAACGGCCACAAGTATGAACCAGTTGCCAACCATCCGAATTTTGATTACATGACTACGGGGATGCTGCAAAGAGGGTGAGAAAAACAGTCATAAGTCACTTTTTTCAGTGCTACTGGAACTTTCAATGGTCACTAAATGAACTGTTGTAAGTCAAGGACTGTTTATAGTTTTTTTAAAAAAATTATAGGTAAAATTTACTTTTAAAAATATCTATAATTCTTTATACAGCAGTAATTGTTATATCACTTTGTTTAATATGTGTGTCTGTGTGTGTGTGTGTGTGTGTATGGTATTCAGCTTCGTTCGGGTATTTTCCCACATCATTATAGTTGTGCTTTTAAAGTTTTAGCAACGTTTCGGCAGAATCTCATCTGCCATCATCAGTCTTCTGTATTGTGTTCGTCTATGAGTTAGACTTTCACAGTCATTTGTGTTTTAAATTTGGTGCTATACCTATGTGTATGTATGTATGTATGTATGTATGTATATATATATATGTGTGTGTGTGTATATATGTGTGTGTGTGTGTGTGTGTGTGTGTATATATGTGTGTGTGTGTGTGTGTGTGTGTGTGTGTGTGTGTGTGTATGTATATATATATTTTCTTAAGTTTTTGCGGGTACTTACATGTATGGAATTTGGCTTTGCTCGGGTATTTTCCCACGTCATAGTAGTTGTGCTTTTAAAGTTGTAGCGACGTTTCAGCAGAATCTCATCTGCCATCAGAAGCCTGATGATGGCAGATGAGATTCTGCCAAAACGTTGCTACAACTTTAAAAGCACAACTACAATGACATGGGAAAATACCCGAACAAAGCTGAATGCCATACATGTAAGTACCCGCGAAAACTTAAGAAAATAAATAAATACATACATACATACATACATACATACATACATATATATATAAAATACTAAAATATAACATCTTTTTAAATAACTGCCAACTGTAATAATATCTTTAAACCTTGATAAAATATAATTTAAAAAAATAACACGAAGGGATAATCAGAAGAAGATAGGTAATTCCAGAACAAATAAAAACCAATAAAGAAAAGATGAAATAGGGAAAATAAAGCAGATGGTCAGTAGAGCCTCTCTTAAAGAGAAAAGTGACAATGAAACAACTGGAAACCATGCAAAAGAATCTCTTGGGATGAGAAGTTACAAAAATTTAAATCCTTCAAATCCTTATTCTATGTTCCCATTTTGGTCCATGGTAGGTTCATAGAAGGGGCTTCTCCAGATAAATGCAAGGAAAGCTGGTCCACCATGAAATTAACCAAAGGCAACGGCAGAGAATAAAAAATCTTGGGGTTCTATTGAGGCTAAAACTCTGGTCTAGAAGCACACACTGCTAAATAAGGAATTGGGGGTTAGAAGTGGCTCGCTACAACTAATTCCAGAGTGCTAATGAATCCAGTGGATTGCATATATGTTCTTGCATCCATGCAGGAGAGAAAAAAAAGAAATTATACATACATACAGGTTCACGGTTGCTTGTTATAAGCCCCAATGACATCAAAGCGATGACTTGGGAGTTATTTGTGTGATGGGTGACATCATGGGCACAGGTGTAAATAATAAATCCCCCCCCCCCGATAACCATACCAACATGTACATGTTCCCTCATGAAAAATAAGTAAAACATTTAAAGCAAATGAATACCCCGCATTCCCAAGGTGGAGATAAAAAAGCCTGTCAGGAAACACCTTTCTGCCTGAAAAAATCTACATTTTCTTTTTGCTCTTAGTATGAATATGAGCAAAAAGTCTTTGAGTGTTCCGGAAGCATCTCTTCTGCTGCCACCCTTAGCTACTTGGCACTTGGGTGCTTTTGCAGAATTTCTTTGACAGACCGAAAGCCACAGGTCCTCTAAGGAAATGCAGTGAAGCGCAGAAAGGGTCACCCTGCACGATTTCCAGTCCCCCCCACAATTAACATTTCTGTTACGGGCAAGCCTGTTTCAGGGCTAGAGCGCATCGTGCCACCGGTCCCTGGGAATTATTATTTATGCCAGACGCTCGAGGGCCTCTGGGCCTCTCTGCAGATGCAGCAAACCCTCTGATGGCAGACTGAGGCTGAGGCTGTTTATTCCTCTGGACACCACCTGCCCTTAAAAATAGAAGAGCTGCAGCTGCTGGTTTTGCTCCCTACAAGCAATTGTTCGAAACAAAGATAACACCACTAAAATGAGAAAATGTTTAGTTTCGGCCAAGTATTCCCAAGAATAGAATAACGGCCTTTTTTCTTTGTTTCTGGTGGAAACTAATACCTGAACTGAGAAGATTTTCAGAAATAATGAAAGAAATTTCTTCTATGACATTTATCTAAGACTTTTAACTCGAGCTGAAGCCCCCCAAAACCCATTACCTCCCACAATTTCCATTTGTTACTTTCCTGAACTCTTAGAATGGCTTTATGGACCCTCTTTTAACTTCTCCCATCTGGTATACTAGACGTGTATAGATTTCTATAAGCTAAAAAAATTTCAAGCAGGGTTCATCTAAAAAACAAAGGCTCAGAAAGGCATTTCTCTATTTAGCATCTGAGTTCAGTTGCAGCAGCCCTGATCATTTGTGAATCTTGACCTTTCAACTGTCTATTCATGAAGCCTGGGAAAGGCCCTCAGGGCAGGGGTCTCCAACCTTGGCAACTTCAAGACCTGTGGACTTCAACACCCAGAATCCCTCAGCCAGCCATGTTGGTTGAAGAATTCTGGAAGTTGAAGTCCGCAGGTCTTGAAATTGCCAAGGTTGGAGACCCCTGCCCTGAGGGAAGGAGGCATTGAGAAAAGCAAGCTCTACTAGAAGTAGCTTTAAAAAAACGTCTGGACCTTTCAAAAGCTTGGAAGATTTACACCTGAGGGACACCCTCAGATATCCAGACTTCAGCTCCCAGAACCCCCAACAATAAGCCCCGTGACTGCGTTGAGACTGACACAACTGGAGGACACCCACACTGATATAACCTATACAATCTTAACCATAATCAACATGGGTGGGGTGATGAACAGTGGCCCAGTAATCATGATAGATACTGTTATCCCTCAAACTTCCCAAGGTGACAAAGTTTACCTCTTGCCAGCTCCACTTGAACCCAAGAACAGTAACAAAGAAAACATATATTTAGAGCCAAGCTGGCAAGCTGTCACTATGATCTGTTGGATCGGACCAAGGTCCATTATGCTACCTCTTGCAACAGCTAGTAACTAGGAGCGTGGAAGATCAAAACTCTGTAGAGTAGAACATCAAACACCTGTCTGTCCTCAAAGTCTGACTAATAAGGTAGACTGTCTCTAACGAAGGAGTTCTTTTTATTTTAAAAACATTTTCATCCATGGGAACAATCAGACGCTCCACAAACCTGCCCAATGAATTCAGCAATGGTAAAGGCGGATACATAAATCTTTCCAAGAGTATCACAGAGGCCCTATTCTTTTTCTTTTAGGCCTCTTTTAAAACCATTAAATGTTTTTAAAGCACAACACACAGGCTGTAAGGGTGGAAGCAGCTTCCCAATGACCCTCTGCCTTCCAGGGAATGAAGGAACAAGCAGAACGAGCCGTCCTTCAAGTTGCACAGAGCAACACAACGCTAATCAGGGTGTGTTCCTTCTGTGGATAGTGGATGGTTGTCTTTTGCAGGGTTGCTGTTCCATTTTCCCAATCCGCACAATCAGATCATCCTGAGCTGCTTCAACCAAACCAGTTTCGTTTCTTTGATTCCCTTCTGGCCTCCTTCTGAGGGAAGTACAATTCATTAACTGCTGACAGAGAGAGGCAAACAGAGGTCATAACGCCTGCACTCAACTCTTCTGAGCCCCACTTGGCAAAGCTCTGTGTTCAGCCTGCCACCCAGCAGTTTTCTCTCTTTAAGCAAGCCAATTAACTCCTGTCTCATTCACCTCAGGCTACCATTACAGGTGAGCCGACTGTTCTTCCAATTCAAAAGCTCTCTGCAGCTTGGGGTTTATATCCATGGTTAAGTATCCAGTCAGGATCACAGAGGTCCCTCCTCCTCTTCCTCCATTTACTACTGTTGTCTGGACCACACAGTTTCATTTTAACTGTAGCACTGCAGGATTTAAAGCAGATAAGCTTAAAATAGCAGTCAGCAATTTTCACAGCCTCTGGGTTTCTGGATGTGAATCCCTCCCACGTCGGACAAGAAGTTTACCAAGAAAAGCTGCACCAGGCTATGACCTGTATCCATCACCACGTCTTGGCTCATTATGTGGTTATACTGAATGATTAATGAGAGCCACAAAGAGGAGGAGCGTGGGTCACTGCATTCGGATCTTTGAAAATTCTTCTGAACCCCAACACTGGGTTGGGGACACCTCAACCATCTCAAAAGCTGCCAGGTTTACACATATACAATGAATGCTTCATCATGACTGAAGAGGCAGTAGGAAACCACATGTTACTGGGCAAACTCAGAGTTCACAATTTTTCTATGTGCAAAGTAAGAGATTAGAATCTTCTTTGGTACCTCACAGTCTCCATGTGTGAGGCAGATGGAGGTAACTCTGGTAAGAAAGAGATGTTGAAGGAAAGTCCCTTTCACATTTCATTTAATTACTTCCAAACTCAGTAGTTTAACTGTGAATACCTATGCAAAGTCATGCCATCTCAGCTGCTTCGTGACAGCTTGCCTACTACAGCAACTATTTAACTTACTGTCTATCTAAATCAAGGGTTTTCAAACTTGGCAAGTTTAAGACTTGTGGACTTCAAATCCCAGAATTCCTGAGCTAACATGACTGGAGGAGGGATTCTCGGAGATGAAGTCCACAAGTCTTAAAGCTGTCAAGTTTGAAGACCCCTGATCTAGATTGCTGAAGTTACTCAGCAGACATAAGCCCTATATTATCTCTGATTAGTGTGGTGGGCCCATCCTAAACAAATCTGGGAAAGATCAGTGTTCACTATAATACACGTTTATAACCAGTGGAACTTTTAATATTTGAACCGTAAGATTAAAAAATAACAGTTTTATAATTATTTAAATGAATGTATCCCAAGCTGAGTAGCTTTACAAGATGTGGACTTCAACTAAGTTCCGGTCATTATGGCCATTGCTGAGAGATTTTGAAGTTGAAGTTCATGTATCACAAGATTGCCAGAATGGGAAAACACTGTTTTAAATTGTTTAATAATGGTGCAGATATATTTATCTAGCACTGCTCTCTTTTATTACATTTTAACAGTTTTAACTTGTGTAGTAGAAGTCACATGGATTTAAAAGAAAAATACAAATGGGCTTTCAAACATCCAGTAGATATTTTAACCATAAAGCCCAATCCTTCAACTTACCCCTTGGCTTCCTTGAAACTGGATTGATGGCTTCAAACCCACAGAATCCTATACAAAAAGGGAAAAAATATAGACGAGTCACAAGACTTGTTAAGCATTATCAGTGATATTATTCCTAAAGCAGACAATAATAGATGGATAGCTATAAAAAAAAAAAAAAAAGACCAGGCACATTCTATCAATTTTAAGAGCTTTAAAAATCTCTTATTTTTAAAAATTGTAACTGACTTCTGTTTGTCAGCCACAAAGACCAAATGGAACTTTGATGTACGAAAAGATTATCCTGAAATATCAACTACCAAAATAAAGCAATATGGCAGGGATGCATTTTCTATTCTTCCAGTAGTACCTGATTGGCTGGCTAGAGAATTCTGGTCCACATATTTTCAGGCTGCCAAGGATGAGAAACAATGATCTAAATCAGAGATGTTAAACTCAAGGCCCGGGGCCGCCAGATCTTGTCCACAGGGTGTTTAGATCTGGTGCGTGAGGCCACACTGGAAACAGCAAAGGACCGGACTGCAGTGCCTCTGCCAGTGAAAACGGAGCTCGTGAGGGCTGTTTTTGCTGGCAGAGGGTTGCAAGAGACATTCGCAGGCAAAAATGGAGCTCGGGAGCCTACTTTCATTGGCAGAGTGCTCAGGCCACCATAGGCGCCCCCGACATGAGTGACGCTGAGCCGGCCACTCTCCTCCCCCCGAGGTCAAACCCTGATGCAATGAAATTGAGTTTGACACCCCTGATCTGAATGGAGACTGCCCCGATTCACTAGATTTACATTTATATTAGAAAAGCTTCCCATTGCACTATAAACCTATTCCCCATTGGCCACCAAAAATCATTCTCAGCCATCCCCATGTAACGATTACCAACATTTAGCTTTGCTCCTTAAGTTCTAATAGGGAAAGGATGCTCTGTATACCCCCCACCTTCACAAAAACCAGGAAGACCGAGACTCAGAGACTGACTTTTTTAGTAGTACCCCTCCCTCTGCACCAGCCTTCCCCCCCCCACCCCGAGGGGAGATGTATTATTCCCCTCCCCCTCCACCATTGATGTTTCCAGAGCTGACAAAGGCAAACTTCTTTAAGGCACCATATGAACTCGTTCAACAGATTACAGGTTTATTTAGTTTTTAGCAGTTTTATTATTAGTTTTATGAACAGATTTTTATCATTTTATTAATTATGGTTTATTTCGTAAGTTGAAGGTTTATCTCTAATCAGAAGAATAGACATGTATACCTTTTGGTAACTAAAAACTATACATATGCTCTTATTAAATAGAAGCAAACCAAAATGATGCTTAATTTTCAGCACACATCCTGCACGGTTCTTTGTTTCTCCTTCAAGCTTGTCTGTACTAGCTCAACTTGAGTAAGTGGAGATCTGCAACTATTGTCGGTGCCAAGTCACCATAATATCAGGAAGGCTGCAAGGAGAGACTTGCAAAGTTGTAGCCTTGATGTGTCTCTCTAATACTCTATTCAGTCTTCAAGGACCAGGGATTTTTTTTCTCCCTACATCCAGCTTCTCCCTATCATCTGAATAAGAAGCAGTTCTGGGATATTAGGCAGAAAGATCAGAAAAGGGTTATGTAAAAATAAAATCTTGACTAGCAACTTTGGCAAAGTACAGGTAGTCCTCGACTTACAACCATTCATTTAGTGACTGTTCAAAGTTACAACGGCACTGAAAAAGTGACTCGTGACCATTTTTCATGTTTCTGTGACCACCACAGCATCCCAGTGGTCATGTGATTAAGATTCGGATGCTGGTTCATATTTATAACAATTTCAGGGTGCCGAGGACATAGGATCCCATTTTGTGACCTCCTCGCAAGCAAAGTCAATGAGGAAGCCAGATTCACTTAACAACCGTGTTACTAACTTAGCAACTGCAGCCATTCATTGAACAACTGTGGCGAGAAAGGTTGCAAAACGGGGCAAAGCTTACTTAACCGCTGTCTTGCTTAACAACTCGTAAAGTCAAGGACCCCCTGTGTTTTTGAGGCTCCTTTAAAACCAAGAGCAGAAAGGACTATGCAATTCATTATGTAGCACCACCAACAGCAGACCTGCTATCTACCAGCAGCTCAGCAAGCCTCACGGGAGCCGAGAATCTCTGCCTTCATTAGGAGCTCCTCAGGTTATGCAGGCTCACGGGTCCCCCTTGAGATGCTGCTGTAGCGCAGCAAAAGAAAGGAGCTGCCAGGCTGGCTAGGAATAGCGGCTTAAGTCATCAAGGGTTCTGTCATTGCCAGGTAGTGGTGATTCTTTCCATAACTGCAGGTGGTGGTGGGGAAATCCATCAGTAGAGAGGCCTCTCTTCTTTCCCAGAGAAAGAAATCACAGAACCGTGTCCATCTTTCATGGCACAATAAAGGCTAGTTACCTCTTCTAAATTTAAATCCAGAGCTAGTTGAAACATATCCATCGACCAACATCTAGCCTGCCCTGTTCCATTGGCTGAGGTCTCTCAGGAGAACACCTGATCCGGGTCTGGAGCACAGAAGGCCTTCACCAAACCACCGGGAATGCGGGATAGAAATAACACTGCACCTCCTATCACTGTAATGCTAGCAATCATGTATAAATGCTCAAGGCTTTTTTCCCTGTTGCCTAGTAACTTTCAGATTAGGAACCTCTTCCTCCAGTGCACTTTATACGAGGCTCTCTTTGAAGACAACTTATAGCTTTCACTGTCCAAAGGGCAACAGTCCATCTGCTAACTGGGGAAGCAGATTTAGATAGGGGCTGCTGATGCTACAGGAATCACACTGATCGTTTTCCAATTTGCTTCCTGGTCCAATTCAGAACGCTACTTTAATACCTTTGAAGATACACGGTCTATAGCTCTGTGATTACTTACAGGACTATCTCACAAGAATCAGTCCGCCTTGGCCGTTCTTGCAAGAAAGGATCTGCTGAGGATTCCCACCCAGTATGAAAATCAACAGAGTGGGGGCTCAGTCAGCTGTACCCTCACCGGCTGTCCCCATGCTTCCTTCCCAAAGTACAAAATGCCCTGGTGCTCCTGACTCTCAGGAAGACTTTTAAGAGTTGGCTATTTCATTTGAGTGTCGGCACTAATTAAGCTTCTTTTGTAGATACTGATAGCAGGGAATATTTGTAGTTTGCAATTTTCCTATTACCATGGGCAGATTTGGTAAATGTACATTTGTTCAGTTGTAACCTGCTTTGAATCCAGATAAGTTCGTGAGACATAAAAGGGGGCATGAAGAAACAGATAGCTAGACTGGACATCCAGGTGTAAGGTCACCGCTACAGCAATAGCACTTAGACTTACATGCTGCTTCACAGTGCTTTATAGCTCTCTCTAAGGTGTGTACAGAGTCAGCCTATTTGCCCCAACAATTTGGGTCCTCAGTTTATTGACCTTGGAAGCATGGAAGGCTGAGCCACCCTTGAGCCGCTCAGAATCGAACTCCTGGAGTGAGCATTGAGTTAGTCTGCACTCTAACCACTGTGCCACCAGGGCTCTTCTATATCCCCATAGAAGTTTGTATATAATTATGTGGATTGTGTACATATGTCTACTTCACTTCTGTCATGTTCTCATCAAAGATTATATAATACAACAGATAGAATTCTCTGTCTTTTTCCCCTCCGCAGGCTCTGCCAAGATGCAGCTAGTGAAGAACGATAAGGCAGAGCCATGACAGGAGGGAAGGAGAAGCGATTTGCAGAGATATTACGGCCCATGAAGGCACAGGTTTTTCCTCCCACACGTTAACAAACTGTTTGGTTCTTTGGGGGAACAAGAGAGATTCAAAATATCCAACAGGCTTCACAGGGCGTGCCAGAGAAAGGACCCAGAGGAGAGAAGGCATGAGGTCAGATGGCAGGACAGGCGCTTATAATAGGCACCCTGGTTGCTCATAAGCCAACAGCAATCATACTGCTGAAGTGGTAATTAGCCAAGATGCAGCATTTCTCATTGCATGCAAATAGGTATAGCTGACAACTTTTGTAGGATGCCTGGATAATCTTAATTTAAGAATGGTGATAGTTCAGATGAGCCGATCTAGAGGAATTCACAAAAGGTATCTGGTTACACATGTGGTAGTGCCGAGCACATAGAGACTTTCTTGCACCGAATGCTTCATTTGTGAGCAGGAAATAAGCCAGCAGGGCAAGAAAATGGCAGCTTTCTCCCTCCCCTCTTTCATAACTGATATAAAGTGATGTGATTTTTTTTTTAAATATGGAGAATGTATTCTTTACACTTTTAAACAAGAGCAGTCCTAATAAAACAGAGCGAAGAAAATGCGCTACTAATAGCCAGTGAAATGCCTTCAGTAAGCCGCAAAGTCAACAGCTAGTATTCAAAGGTTTGTTTTGTTTTTTAAAGAGAATCTATCCGTAACCCTTAAACAGAACCTTAAGTACCGGTAATCTGTAGTAGATCAGCAAAAGTTTCTAATTCCAAGAATCTAACAGCAATAAAATCTTCTCAGTCCTGGCATCATAAACATTATTTTGAAATAGAAAACTTGGTGGACAAACACTAATGGATTTTAACTTGACTCTGGCACTGATCATACATTTTGGACTGGTCAAGGATACAAGATGCATTCTAAGGACCTACCTGTCCATCTTGTACCTGCTAGGATTTTTGGATCTCAAATACATCAACTCAGCTAGTTGCAATCTGCCTAAACTTCAAAATCTGGTTTAGCATAATACTTGAGGCAAGTAAAAATCCGTTCGCCTTCTTTTAAACAACAGTAGTTGGCTTACAGTGAATTTGCAATGAAATACTGCTCCAAATTTTTCCCCATAAGCAGTATTACCAACCCAAATATTCCCCATTTAATTTTGGTTTCCTGAATAAGTACTCTGTAAATTTCTTAAATCTCATTCTATTATATTCAGGCTATTTCTAATTTATCAAGATAGTCTGGAATAGTATTTCTATTCACTAGGATTTAAGCTATCCCATCAAATTTTTATGTTATCTGAAAATTCAAACAAACATTCCTTCCAGCACTTCATCTAGATCACTGATCAAAATATCGGACAATCC